TCTCTACTTTGACTTTTACTTACTTTAGCATGTTATTCCGACTTTGTATAAGGTTACTTCTTTATTTCTATTGTTATCTTAATACTCTTTTTTCCAAGTATGAGTCTGTACCTCTACCTCTGCCCTTTTATTTTCGTATACTTGCCCACAGTGGTTTCTGTTACTCTTATTTTTAAATCCAGACTTATTTATCATAACTTACTATGTACGTCTGACTGCATCATTATGTCCCCATTTACAAGTTGAAATACATATTTTGAAAAATAAATTACTTTTTATTTCTTCTTTGCATATCATTTGGGACATTGTATTTATTTGCTTTTGAAAATTTTGTATAGGTAGGTCATTTTATCTATGAATTTTTTTTCAGAATGGTAGAGGAGGTGTTACAAAAATATGTGTGATTAAAAAGGGGAGAGTGCATCTGAGGACTGAGACCTACTACTGCTCTGTCATGCAAAGAAGACATGCTAGCCATTCATTGCTGTGTGTCGTCTCCTGCAGTGTCCTGTTGCTAATCAGCAGCCTGGATGTCTTTTTTTTTTTTGAGACAGAATCTTGCTCTGTCGCCCATGCTGGAGTGCAGTGGCGCGATCTCAGCTCCCTGCAACCTCTGTCTCCTGGGTTCAAGCGATTCTCCTGCCTCAGCCTCCCGAATAGCTGAGACTGCAGGCATGTGCCACTATGCCCAGCTGATTTTTTGTATTTTTAGTAAAGATTTCACAGGGTTTCACCATGTTGGCCAGGCTGGTCTCAAACTCCTGACCTCAGGTCATCCGCCCCCCTCGGCCTACCAAAGTGCTGAGATTGTAGGCGTGAGCCATCATGCCCGGCCAGTCTGGGCATCTTGCTGCATACATGGATAGACTAGGTTTTCTGGGCCGGGTGCGGTGGCTCATGCCTGTAATCCCAGCACTTTGGGAGGCCATGGCTGGTGGATCACTTGAGCCCAGGAGTTCAAGACCACCCTGGGCAACATGGCAAAAGCCTGTCTATACAAAAAATACAAAAATTAGCCAGGCGTAGTGGCAATTGCCTGTAGTCCCAGCTTCTCAGGAGGCTGAGGTGGGAGGATTGCTTGAGTCCAAGAAAGTTGAGGTTGCAGGGAGCTGTAAGTGCACCACTGCACTCTGTCTGGGTGGCAGAACAAGGTCCTGTGTCCAAAAAAAAAGAGCAGGTTTTCTGTCTAGGCACTGTCATCTGTCTTCTTGTTTCAAAGAATGTTTTTCATTCCTCATTTTGATCTAGATCTTTTAGTTTTCCTCAACTTTGCAGCAGGAGGTGTAGCTTATCATATTTACACTTTAGTATTTACTTAACAGTGTTTTCTATTGAAAAAGATTGTAAGATTTGCAATGTGGTAATTGTTTTGTTCTCGTGTCAGCTATCAGCAACATTGTGCAGCTTGGTTTGGTTTTTTAATCCAATCTCCTCACTTCCCTCCCCCCAAAATTGAGTGAAATAGTTTTTGAGCACAGAGTCTTATCAGGCTCAGGCATGTTTTAGATAAGCTAAGTCTTGTCAAGTTCTGACTCTGTAGATCTCATAACTAATGCACAATGAAATAATGTGGTACAATGGAAATAAAACCTAAGTTCTTGGTCCTGACCATCATTTACTACCCTGGGCAAGTTGTGTGGCTTCTCTGAGCCTTGGTTTTCTTGTCTACAAGTAGAGATTTTCTGTCCTGCCTATCTGCCAGGTAATTGTTAGGATCAAACAATATAAAGACTGCTAGAGAAATGTAAAAATTCTGAAATGCCCTACAATAGCTGTTAGGTTATATCATCTAGAAAAGCTTTGGTCATTAAATCAATTTTAGAAGTGGCTTCAAATTACTTTTTTGCCACCACCACTGCCAGAGTTAAAACACTGCTGTATAAAGGATGAGTTGGAAGGGGATTTAGAAGGACCTAATTTGCCAGTTTCATGGCCATTGAGATGGAGTGGAGATGGCAGTCTCACTCAAGGCACTGGAAATAAAAATGGAGCAGACAGACCCCAGAATCATCAGCAGGACTTAGAAACTGGTTGTACTTGAGGATGAGGGGAAGGAAGGACTGTTGAACCCCAAAGACCGGGAGGTTGGTTATCAAGAGGCATAATAGGCGTGATGGAAGAAAAGCGTGTGCTTCCCACTGAGGCTGTGTTTGAGTCTCTGCTGTGACTCCCAGATGGAGCTGTCCAGAGGCAGCTTGGCATATAGGCCCAGATCCCCAGGAGACAGGATTGGATTGGACCACGGAGCCCCTCTGCAGTGAGATCATTGAATGAGGCAAGATGGGAACTGAGGGTGGAACTTAGTGGAATGAATGTCTGCATTGAAGGGCCTGCAAGGCAAGAAGAGCCAACAAAGGCTCTTCTTACCCTGTGTTCCAGAGTCCATGGCCATTCTGTTCTATAGCGTATGGGACATGGAGATGCTGTACACTTACTGCTCTTACAAGTTTGTGCATTTTAAAAGAGCCCTTGGTGTCTGATAAACCACTGAGTGGAAAGAGTAAATCTTCCTCAGAAAATGCTTCAAAGATGCACAAACTAAAAATGAACAAACAAAACTAGCAAGAGTTTACATTTTGTTAAATAGCCTGTAACCAAGTTTAAAAATGGAATGTTCGTTTTTCATATTTAATACTGCTGGCAGATGCTGCTCTATTCTTACTGAAACATTAGTTTATACTAAATAAAACTTTAATACTATTGATTCTTACTAATTCTCCTCTTTTTTCCCCCTTTTTTCCTCTAGATTTTACATTGTGCTATAGGTAAGTATGGATTTTCCCCCCTACTATGTACAGTGAATTCTGCTTGTTTAAAAAGTCATAAATGATAGGCTTGATTGATTTCTATTGAATATTGAAAAAACGAAATGATTTAGTCATCATATATGGAATTGCTAAAATTAGAGTGGCTTTCAGTTTCTGAAATCATAGGTACTATTTAGATGTTACGACTGAACACTTCATTAAAGGTCGCAGCTATTTTGTTCTGTTAATTTAAAAGAGGTGTCTCCCACCTTCTCAGTGTAAGGGTAATAGAAACATTAGCATGTTTATGAAAATGTGGCTGGAATTCTGGTGCTGGGCTGTGTTGAAAAGTCGTTTCTGTGATCACTTAAATGGTATCATTCTCACTCCTTATCTTTCAAATGGGAGTCTTGTCTACCTCCCAGGTGAATATTACATGTATGTGAGAGAGATTAGAAAAGTACTAAGTATAAAGAGTTACACAAATGTAGGGGATTTTTACTAAAAGCGAATACAGTATGTTTTCTTTTTCTTTTTGTGGGGAGGGGCGAGTCATCAAATTTTGCTGTGGAATAGAGGCATAACATCTAGTTTGGGGTGGCTAGACCCTTCTAATTGAATAAAAACCAGTATTGAAAAGTTGATAGATCCCATAGAGCAAGCCCATAGTGATTGCTGTGCACTCCAGGTATGTCTGTCAAAGGGAGGATTTGAAGTTGATACTTATTCAGAAGCACTGAAGGTCTGAAAATTTGAGAACTGCAAATCTACACCATTATGGCCCATCAATTTAATCCACAACTAAAGTGGGTAGTTGCTATATTCAGGGAAACTTACAGTTCAGATGGGCACGCAGGTAGAGAACACCAAACTGTCCACTGTGGGTCTAGCAGAGGTCACTGTGGTATCTGGCTCCATTACCTTCTTTTTTTGTTATTGTTTTAGGGACAGGGTCCCAGGCTGGAGTGCATTGGTGCAATCATAGCTCAGCCTCCCAAGTAGCTGGGATTACAGGTGTGCACCACCATGCCTGGCTAATTTTTGTATTTTTAGTAGAGCTGGGGTTTTTACCATGTTGGCCAGCCTGGTCTTAAACTCCTGGCCTCAAGTGATCCACCCACCTTGGCCTCCCAAAGTGCTGGGATTACAGGCATGAATCACCACGCCTGGCCAAGAACCTTGTTATAAAGAATTGCACCTTGGGCTGGGTGTGGTGGCTCATGCCTGTAATACCAGCACCTTGGGAGGCTGAGGCAGGAGGATCATTTGAGGCCAGGAGTTCGAGACCAGCCTGGGCAACACAGGGAGACTCCATCTCTACAAAAAATAAAAAATGAGCCCCGTATGGTGTTGCATGCCTGTGGTCCCAGCTACTCAGGAGGCTGAGGTGGGAGGATGGCTTGAGCCCAGGAGGTTGAGGCTTCAGTGAGCCATGATCACACCATTGCATTTTAGGTTGGGCAACAGAATGAGTCTCTGTTTAAAAAATTTAAAAAAATAAAAAAAAAAAATTTAAAAGAATTGCACCTCTACTGGTTTCTCACTTCTTACCTGGGATTATGGGTAGAGCGTCCAGGGACCCCCTCAAATGATGTGCAAAATTTTTTATGTGTATTTCCATGTTTGTTTGGAGGGGCAGGTAGGGAGAGAATGCATAGCTTCAGTTAGATTCTCTGAGGAGTTTGTGATTCCCAAAAGGCTAAGAAATGCTGTTTTGGAACCTTTGAATGGTAGATTTGAAAGTGGCTTGGGGGCTTATCTGTCCCGTGGTCTGCTTTCCCAGGAAGACTAGTGACTGGCCCAGGTCGTATAGTTGGTAAATAGGGAAGCTCATTTGGAGACAGGTCAGTCTGACACCTGCCTGATTTCATTTTATGATGAATGGGTTTTAACTTTTGTGCAGTCTTGCACACGTTTCCTTTTTAGTCCTTTATAATTTTGAAATGAAAAATTTTATCGTTTCATAAATGGTTAAATAAATCTTAAGCACAACCTAGCAGACTGGGGGATGTACTTGACCAGAGAGAGTTCTAGAACCTCTCAGGCCTTCTCCACATGACTGAACCCTGCCTCGTTCTTCCTCAACTCTCTTAACCTTCAGCTGTCTCTATATAAAGCTCTCAGATGTATCTTTTCCAAGTATCTTAGCCGGTTCTGGCTGCTGTAACAAAATACCACAAATTGGGTAGCTTATAAATAACAAAAATTTATTTTTCACAGTTCTGGGGGCTGAGAATTCCAAGATCAAGGTGGTGCTGACAGATTCCCTGTCTGGTGAGGGTCTGTTCCTCGTAGACAGTAGCTTCTTACTGTGTCCTTGCATGGTGGAAGGCGCAAGTGAGCTCCCTTGGGCCTTTTATAAGGGCGCTAACCCTATTCATGAGATCCCTTGTAACCTAATCACCTCCTGAAGACCCCACCACTTAATACTATTGCACTGGGCATTAGGTTTCAACATAGGAATTTTGGAGGCACACAGACATTCAGGGTACAGCACCGAGCATGTGTACTATGATTTTTAGTTAATATTAGTTTTATTTTAATAACTCAAATCCTTTTATCTGTCTTAAAATATACCCTTATATGTCTTTATAAAATGTCTCTACCCCTGGAAATACAGTTTCTGACAAGTATATTTTTTTCATTCACACCAAGAAAATTATCGAATGCCTAGCACGTGTGCATACCAGATGCTATTGGGCAGTGGGAGTAGAGAGGTGAGTGTACTCAGACTTAGGTCCAGGAAACCCACAGTCAGATGGGCGTCACCTAAGTTCCTCTGGTATAGTGCATCCTGAGGACTGGTGTGCACATCACACTCTGCTCAGAGGGTTGGCAGGTTTGCTTCCCCCTCAGACTCTGAGCTCCTTGAGGGCAGATTCTGTTTAATTAAGCTCTGCATCCCCAGGGCCCAGCGGCAGGATCCTTCTTACATCCTCAAGGACCTTGTTCTGTCTGTGCATCTCTCGCTCCTGCCTCACCACCCTGTGCTATCTGCCTTTTCCTTCTCAGTGCACAAAATGCTCAGAGCGCTCTGTCTTAAAAATCTTTTAACCTGACCATTGACCCTGTATTTCCCTTATACTACTATATAACTGTTCTCCATCCCTTTTCCCAGATTTATGGTAGACTCTTTCTGCTTCCTCATGCCCATCGATGCCTGAACCCTGCAGTCGAGCATCTGTTCCCCTTGTTCTACAAAAAATCACCCTCTGGTCTCAAGTCAGCAACAATTTCTACTAGATTCTGAGTACACTGTTGGAAGTTCTTGGACTTAGCTACATGGGGCACCACTGATGATGATTCCTGGAGATCCTGCTCCTTCAGCCTTCATTGTATTGAGCCCCCCTGGTATACCTTGTCCTCTGTGGTCCTTTTCTTTCTTTGGGTGCTTTTCTTTCTTTCCTTGTCCCTTAATCGTGAGTGTTTCTGGAGTTCTGTCCTAGCTCATTGCCCTTCTGACTGAATGTACCCTCTGTGGGTGATCCCTTCTCATGGCATAAGATATGCAGACTTCCAATTCCAAACCACACCTGCATCCCAAACACCAGCCCTGTCCACTGATTTCCTGGACATCTGTTCCTGGGTGCACACAGGCACCTCCTCAGCATGACCCACACTCCCAGACTCGTTCTGCCTCCCTATTCTGTTTGTCAGGGCTGCCGCCAGCCACCAGCCGTTCATTCATTCATCCTAGAAGAGAGCTGGTCCATGGTGTCTCCTCCTCTCTCACTGGCATTCCTGTAGCCAGGCAGTCATCAAGTTTTGTCAGTTCAGTTTCCTAAATGTCTTTCAGGTTGTCTTGTTTCTTCATCCCTACTTGGGACCTCAGTATGTCTCATCTGGATTCCCATGTATCTTCCTGAACTTCTGGGCCTATAGCAATAATAATAATAATAATAATAATAATAATAATAAGAGCCACCATTTCTTGAATACTTACTGTATTCCAGTGCTTTACATTCATTATCTCATTTATTTCTCATTTTCCAGCTGAGACTGAGGCTTAGAAGGTTTCCTGTCTTTGTTCTTACCACAAATAAATGTGTGAGGTGATGCATATGTTAATTAGCTTGATTTAGTCATTCCACAGTATATTCATATTTCATAACATCATGTTGTACAGCATAAGTATGTGTGTGTGTCAATTTAAAAAAGAAATGTATCATGCCTTGCCAAAGGTCACACAGCACTAAGCCCTAGCCGAGGAGTTGAACCTATGGTTGTGTGGCTCCAAGTCCATGCTCTACACTGCTCTTGTGGGTTTAGTTATAGTACCATTCTGAGCATGTCATTTGCCTACTTAAAACCTTTTGCTGGCTTAAATTTCTTCATGATCTGGGCCCTGCCCACCTCTCCAGTCTTTCCAGTGCCCACTCCCTGCCTCCCACTCCATGCTTGTCTGCACTGTGCCCAGGCTCTGCTCTCTGCCTGGAATGAGCAGCCCAGCCCCTTCAGCTGGGCAGCTCTGTGCGTCTCTTCCAGTAAACTTCCCTACCACCCACAGCCAGAGTAGGGACCCTTCCTCACTCTTCCGTAATACCTTGTACCTCACTCGGTATTATACCTTCCACATTGTATTATGTGTGGTCTGGCACGGCACCCATGTCCCCACCAGCACCGCTGAATATTTTTTAGAGGGAGAGCTGTTCCTTATTGATCTCTGTATCCTAGTACCTAACAGTAAGTACATAGTACCTAGCAGGAGTTTGGTGAACATTTGATCATTATCTTACCAAATTCTAGTGGGAATTTCCAAAACTTATTTCAAAATGATTTCAGTTCCTTAAAGGAATTAGAGAGAGCAATAATGAGTAAGCTGTTTCTAGCATTAAGCTAAAGGCAGTGCTTCATTTTTACTTAGATCACTTAAGTTTTGTGGAATGATGGTTTATTTTTCTGTAGCATTCTGAAAGTTTTCATTAAAACAACTTAGTCTTTCAGAAACTTATTTTATAATAAGCCTTGAGATATCTTTAGTTTACATATTGTTGATGAAAAGTATAGACCTGAGTCAGATTTGGGTAACTCACTAGCTGTGTGATTCCAAGAAGTAACTCAATTTTTGTGCTTATTTAATTCTTCATCAGTAAAAGGGGGATAAGAATACCTACCTCACAGGTTGCTGTGAAAATTAAATGGAAAAATGCAGGAAGAACACTCGGCACAATGTCTGAAACATGGCTGTATGGAAAATTGCCCAATAAAATGGTAGCTGTTGTTATTACTTAAGCAACATAATGTCATAGAATATTAAAAGATTATTGTGCCTCTAATGTTCAATATTTAGATATATATAAGTGTAACTCTTTCATATTCTTAATTTTCTTAAATTTTGATTTCTTTGCAAGTGAGCACTTCAGGGCCCTTCATTCTTAGTGTGAGTTGGAGTTGCATCTTGCTCACGGTTGTGGCAATGCAACTTGGCAAATACGGCCTCCAGAAACAATCAACTAAAATCCATGTGAGGGGCTAATTTCTGTGAGGGGGGTCAAGCCATTTGTAGCTGTAAATGAGTTTCCACACCTCAACTTTTTCAAAGTAGGTGGTTTGTTTTTTATTGATAGTGGAAGGATGGGATTTCTGAAATGCTGTGGCTGCAGGCCTCAACCTAAGATTTGTAATGCTTTTATAGTTTTATATTCAGTGTTTTTCCTTTTAGAAATGAGAATTTTAAAAAATAGGCCAGTCATGGTGACTCACACCTGTAATCCCAGTACTTTGGGAAGCTGAGGCGGGCGGATCACCTGAGGTCAGGGGTTCGAGACCAGCCTGGCCAAGATGGTGAAACCCCGTCTCTACAAAAAGTACAAAAATTAGCTGATGTGGTGGCAGGTGCCTATAGTCCCAGCTACTTGGGAGGCTGAGGCGGGAGAATCACCTGAACCTGGGAGGCGGAGGTTGCAACGAGCCAAGATCATGCCACTGCACTCCAGCCTGGACGACACAGTGAGACCCCATCTCAAAAAATAAACAGACACCAAAACCTACCTTGAGATATGTTCCCCCCCCTCCCCGCATAATACTGCAAAGAAGAGTTGTGGTTTTTTATTCATGTGGTGTGATTTGTATTGAATGAAGTATTAGGAAGTATTATATCTTTTCTGTGTTGTCTTCAGGATTCGATTGTGGAAGAGGCATGGGGGCTATGGTTCTCAGCTGATTCTGCAATATGGTTCCCCTCTTTATGGATGGGAATTAGAGGTGGAGGTAGTGGAGCTGAAGATACTCTTGGTAAGATATAACACTGTGCATTTAGTAAACTTTCGTGTCAGAAATTATGCTACCAACATAAATAACTCTAGAAGTTTTCTTTTGATAGAAAATTGTAGCTCAGTCACAGCCCAGAGAGTTATATCTGAAGTTTAGTATTAGCACTTTAATTTCATCAACAGGCAGGGACAAAAGACCTTTCACTTAGGATATCCTGGATTTGTGGTTTCAGATATTTGCTATGTGTGCCAGCTTGCACTCCTCCCTCAAACAGAAGACACTTTATTAAAAATTTTTAAGTGAATTCCAAAAAAACCACAATCACCTTAATATTCATTGGTAGCGTATGGCTCCAGACTGATTTTATTAGGTAACAAAGGTTGCCAGGTAGGAAGCAGAGCAGCCGCTGGGGAGACCCACGTCACTTCCTACCAAAAAAATCTTTCTAGCCCACTAATTAGAGCTAACTAAATCCTCCCTTGAACTGTAACACTCCCTCCTCTGCCCCGCTACTTTGAGAGGGCCAAGCTTTTATCAGTCATTCACAAAGCAATATTGTAAAGGAACTGCCATCACTTATTTTTAAAACCAGACACAGAACCCACCAAATTTTAACAGAAGAGAACTCTGGAAGGAGAGCATCTTGGAGGGAACAGGTGAATTCCTCTAAATTTCTCTCACCTGGAATTCTGCTTTCACACCTGTGCCCAGCCTTCAGCAGCGTGGCTGGGCACAGAAACGTTACTGCGTTGTTTCCACTTAGCTGACATTTTAAAAATGAACCTTACCAAATTGTAAGAAAGAGACAAAAGGGAATAATTACCTAAAATACAGACAGTACAGTATAATAACCACCATCCCCAAAGAAAAGTTTCTGATCCAAAGCTCTAACTCCCATTTAGTTTCTAGGGGCTGGCGCAGCTTCACGTGCCTTACTGGCTCTCTTTGTCTTTTTTTTTTTTCCTTTTTGTGGAGAACGGGGTCTCGCTATATTACCCAGGCAGGTCTCGAACTCCTGGGCTCAAGCTATCCTCCCGCCTCTGCCTCCCTGAGACTTACTGGCTCTCTTTAAGCCTTGTTCTTACCGGGACCCCTGTCACAAATATGGATAACAAACCTTTCTTATTCAGATTTTAATACTGCTTTCTGCCTGAGGGCATATTTAGTGGTGGTGATGGCAGGGGGATGGGAGAGAAAGGGATGTAGCCAGGCAAGCAAGCCTGTCTCCCCTGCTTAGAGGCTTCTAAGGCTCACCCCTGGAGAGCCCCTGGGAAGATTGGAGGCCTGGGTGGGAGGTTGTCAAAACCAACCTTCTCCTCCTTGCAATTAATTCTGTCTTTGTCATTTATTCAAATGTTATAGTTTTCCAGCATCCTGACAATGGAGCGCTAAAGGTCAAGACCATAAGTGGTCATCTTCTAACTTTAATCTTTCCCAAATCAGTTGCCAGACCAGCTTAGTAGCCTCCTTCTGCGTTGGCTCTGGTTCATTCTGTTGCCTCCTGATCAAATGTTCCCTGCTCCCCTCCAGACAAGGAGAGAATAAGATGCACCTGCATCTTGTGCTCCTGACACACAAAACTTCAGCCCTGTTCTCTGAATAAATCCTGCTTTTTCACACCTCCATAATTTTGTACATATGGTTTCCTTGGCCTGGAACACCAAGCTCTGTTAGTTGTTCCCTGCTCTGTGTGAATGTAACTGAGATGAAGGAAAGAAAGAGAGAAATAGAGCATGCTCATTTGTAGCCTAAGGAGCCTGAGTAGGGAGGGTGGAAGACTTACCCAGGTATACACCACCTGGTACCTCGCACTGTGCAAGCACTCAGTGAGCAGCACCCAAGTACGAGGCAAAAACAATCCCCGAGGATTTCTGTGTCTAGTTGGAGTTCAGAAGGGAAAGCTACGAAGAGAGCCCAGATCAGGGAATTTTATCCTGTGCTGTCCCTGCAGGAACAATTAAGTGTTTCTTTTGAATGGAAACTTATTATTGAGACATTAAGTGCCTTCTCTATAAGATAATATTAACTGGCTGTCCAGTCCATCAGAAATCAACCAAGGGCACACCCTGTTGGAAACATTACTAGTTGTTTGACAAGTCAGGCATCTTCCATCTGGGCCTAGTTTCCACATATGAAAAACAAAGGTGTTGGACTGAATACATGATGAACTCTATCATTCCTTACAGCTGCTGGTTCTGAAATTCTGTGAACCTGTAAATGTGATGTTGCTTCAGAAATGAATGTCAGTGATCTGAGTTGTAAAAGTGATCTGAGTGATGTAAAAGGAGGGTATGCTAGATGTTTAAATGTGCCGAAGTATCAGTGTTTGGAAATTTCAAGTACAGTAGTTCTACTACTTTTTTCCCTGTAGGTAAATTTTGAAAGTCCCATCAGAATGCAGAATTGAGAGAGGACACACACACACACGTTTTGTGTAACAGATGTTTACTATGGTCACCACTAGATGGCACCCTTGTATTAGTAAGGAGATTTTTCTCTTAGAACGGGCTTCGGGATGACTTCTAATAAAAACAGATAGTAGTGAGTCAATAGCCAAAACTGAGGAATGAGCAAGTTAACCAGAGGAAATAGAAATGGATGTTTTTCTATCACTGTCTGATGACTTGATCCATAAGATTTGAGGTAAGGAAAAGCTGGAGCTTTCAACATTGCCCTGAGGAAGATTATTTTATAAATATTTCTTAATTGTAAAGCATAAGATACCTTTAAATCCAAGATGCGTATTATTTGCTTGATGAAAAGGGGTGCCATATTTCAGCAGTTCTTTGGTGCGTTGGTTTGTGTTAGTCTAAAGTCAACCTTCCATCTATTCTTAGCTTCAAAAGCAAGGTTAGTCCTGCAAAGTTGGAAACACCAAGTAGTTACCAAGTTGAGTAAATCCCGTTGAACCAAAAAGTGAAAGCTTGAGTCATCTTTTAGCCAAGGAATCATTTGATTTATGCTTCTGTGGCAGGAGTTAAATGGTTACAATGTGTTAAAAGGGAGCAAGAAAGCTTCGGAAAATTTGTAAAAATTTGTATGACCGTGGTATGTCATTTTTATGGTTCTGTTTCCTTTTCTTGGGAGAGGATTTTTTTTTCTCTTCATTCACTGTAAACATCTTTCCATTAACTTTTAAAAATATGGTTTTTTTTAAAGCAGTTTCAGGTTCACAGCAAAATTGAGAGGAAGGTACAGACATGTCCCATACGCCCCCTTACACCGCACATGTGTAGTCCGCCATTATCAACATCCCCAACCAGAGTAGTACATTTGTTACGATTGATTAATGTACATTGACACATCATTATTGTCCAAAGCCCATAGTTCACTCTTAGCATTGTACAATCGTTGGGTTTGGACAAATTTATAGTGACATATATCTAACATTATACTGTCATACAGAGTGTTTTCACTGTCTTAAAAATCTTCTGTGCTCTACCTGTTCATCTCCCAAATCCCTGGAAGCCATTTATCTTTTCACTGTCTCTATAGTTTTGCCTTTTCCAGAATGTCATACAGTATGCAGCCTTTTCAGACTGACTTCTTTGACTTAGTAATACATGTTTAAGTTTCCTCCATGTCTTTTCATGGCTTGATAGCCCATTTCATTTTAGCACTGAATAATACTCTGTTGTCTAGATATACCACAATTTACCCATTCTCCTAGCAGAGGACATCTTGGTTGCTACCAGGTTTTGCCAATTATGAATAAAGCTGCTATGAACATTTGTGTGCAGGTTTTTATGCGGATGCAAGTTTTCAGCTCCTTTGGATAAATACTAAAGAGCACGATTGCTGGATTATATGCTAAGGGTATGTTTAGTTTTGTAAGAATCTGCCAAACAGTCTTCCAAAGTGTCTGTACAGTTTTGCTTTCCCAAGAGTAATGAATGAGAGTTTCTTATTCTACATCCTCTGCCGCATTTGGTGGTGTCAGTGCTCTGGATTTTGACCCTTCTAATAGGTGTGTAGTGGTGTATTGATTATACATGACGTAGAGCATCTTTTAATATGCTTATTTGCATCTGTAGGTCTTCTTTGATGAGGTGTTTTGTTGTTGTTGTTTGTTTGTTTTTTTGAGACAGTCTCACTCTGTCACCTGGGCTGGAGTGCAGTGGAGCAGTCACAGCTCACTGTAGCCTTGAACTCCTGGGCTCAAGTGATCTTCATGCCCCAGCCTCCCAAGTAGCTGGGACTACAGGTGTGAACCACCATGCCCAGCTAAATTTTTTAATTTTTTGTAGAAACAGAATCTTGCTATGTTTCTCAGGCTGGTGTTGAACTCTTGGCCTCAAGTGATCCTCCCACCTCAGCCTGGTAAAGTATCTTTTAAGGCAGCAGTCCCCAACCTCTTTGGCACCAGGGACTGGTTTCGTGGAAGACATTTTTTCCATGCACTGGGGGTAAGGGGAGGGAGTGGTTTTGGGATGAAATTGTTTCATTTCAGATGGTCAGGCATTAATTCTCATAAGGAGCACTCAGCCTAGATCCCTTGAATGCACAGTTCGCAATAGGGTTCGAGCTCCTATGAGAATCTTAACACTGCTGCTGATCTGACAGGAGGTGGAGCTCAGGCGGTGCTGCTCACTCACCTGCTGCTCTCCTGCTGTGCAGCCCAGGGACTGGGGCACCCTATTTTAAGGTCTTTGTAAGTTTAGAATAACAGTCCTTTGTCAGATACTATCTTTTGCAGATATTTTCTCCTGGTCTGAAGCTTGTCTTTTCATTCTCTTTACAGTATCTTTTGCAGAGCAGAATTTTTTTTTTTTTTTTTTTTTTTGAGACATAGTCTTGCTGTATCACCCAGGCTGGAGTGCAGTGGCATGATTTCGGCTCACTGCAAGCTCCGCCTCCCGGGTTCACACCATTCTCCTGCCTCAGCCTCCTGAGTAACTGGGACTACAGGTGCCTGCCACCATGCCCCGCTAATTTTGTTTGGAGTTTTTAGTAGAGATAGGGTTTCACCGTGTTAGCCAGGATGGTCTCGATCTCCTGACCTTGTGATCTGCCCGCCTCAA